AACCTGGGGTTCCGCCTCCATCAATCATGCATTCACACAAAAATACACACTCTTGTGTGTTACAGCCTGCTCAGTGTTTTATAACTAAGGTGTCACTTTATTTTTAAGCTCATTTAATAAGACAAGTTGAACCAGAACAGACTCATTTGGAGCAGCATAGAAACACATACAGTACACACATGGATCACTGTGTAGAGCTATGGGCAGCTTCTGCACAACTTCTATAATTAATTAAAGTCCCACTCCAGAAACATTTTCATTTTTATATTTGTATATAAAAATACTTTACTATAAACAATATGCAGTCTAACACAGCTTTTCCTCAAAAAAATTTCAGTGGGCCTCTGTAATAGGAATGAACATTGCCCCTCATTGTGCATTCCAGGATCTATGAATGTTGCCGTCATCCCTTATGTGGATTTGAATAATTTTGCACGCCCAATTTTTCAGTTTTTTATTTGTTAAAAACGTTTGAAATATCCAATAAATTTCGTTCCACTTCATGATTGTGTCCCACTTGTTGTTGATTCTTCACAAAAAATTACAGTTTTATATCTTTATGTTTGAAGCCTGAAATGTGGCAAAAGGTCGCAAAGTTCAAGGGGGCCGAATACTTTCGCAAGGCACTGTATTTAATCAGTGTTACAGTCAAGATTATTGTTTAAATAAAAAAAAAAAGAATCTAGTTTTACAGATGTTTGTGCTGCTACCGTCACTGAAAAGTTCATTCAAGGAGCAGAAAAAAAAAAGAACAAGGTAGTTTTTTAAAAAAATATTTAAGAAATACAGTGTGTCACTCTGATCCCACGCTGCAGAAGAAGACCTTGACATATGATACACTCCACCACAATGGGACCATAAACTACAGGCTTAAAAACAATCAGCACACAGTTGAATCAACAACTCTGACTCAAGAAAAACATAGCATTAAGTATTTCACTGTTTTGTCCAGTGTTCCTGTTCCTGAGTGCACTCTGTACAGCCACATCCAAGACAGTGAGTTACTTGTTTTTATCCAGAGCAAACTACAGTGAGTGTAAAATAAGCTATAAACCTCTGATTACAGACAAACTCTAGTTCAGACTTTAGGAGGACAGTTATGTGTGACTGCTCAGTACTACTTTTGTGTGTGTGTGTGTGTGTGTGTGTGTGTGTTTCTACCATGAAATGGGTACAGCGGCCTCCTGGCCCGTTCCCATGGGTACGCGGCTCTGGACATAATGCAGTTGGCCGAAGTACTTCCTCAACGTGCTGCATCCCTCAAAATCCCTCGTCACATTCACTGCGCTCTGTGAACACACAGACTCTGTGTTTAATGACCAGTGCAGCTACAGTACACAATCACTGCTTCAGCAAAACTCACTGTGACCTAATTCAACTGCACATCCCATAAACATTCATTAGAGTTTTAGCATTTAAAGCTTAGGGCTCATTTTCAGCTATCATTCAGACCTGAATCCTCACTGGCATCAGATCAGGGATGGATATGCAAACTGACACACAAACACAACATATCATCACTGAAGTGTTAGAGTGAACATCTGACTCCACACTCATCTGCTATTAGTGTGTCCCACAAGAAATAAGAAGAAGAAAAAAAAAAAAGAGTAAAGACTGCACACTCATGACCACATCCTCATCACTGATGAGCTCAGCTGCATCTGGCTGCAGGTTTGTTTGTGGATATGAGGTGGAGGGTTAAAAATGTGCAGGTATTTCCAAGAGATATATGTTTTACACCAAAAGGGATTTTAAAAACCTGGATGTGTTGGTGTTTATGACCCAACCACATCCTCCAGAAAGCTCGACATC